ACACACACACATACACACACACACACGCGCGCGCGCACAGACACATCAGCTCACACCAAACACACGACCGAACAGAGGGTGGTGGCATCGTTGACTGTGCATGTGACGTTGATGGATCGACCAAACATGCAGTCGTGGTCAATGTCCTGCAAGGGATAGTCGTTGTACGTGCAGTTCAAGTCGCTTGCGGGCAACGCCTGACACGATGCCTGCAGCAGTGCAAAGCATGGGCAACATGCATGAACAGTTGTGAGGCGCACGTCCACATACATGCTTCCAAAAACGCCATCATCTATGGCGATACACCTGTACAAGCACGCAAGCATGCGCACAAGCTCAGCCGCACCTGTGCAGCCGCCATGGTCAGCATCGACGACGACGACGACGACGACGACAACAACAGCAACACAGCCATCCCCACCACCACAGCCAGAGGAGGTGACACCACAACGCTTCTCCTCATCCTCGTCATCGTCCTTGTTGTATCCTGCTATCTCTCTGTGTGTCGCCTGTCGTGTCGTCAGCAATGGAGGAAGATGATCAATTTCTTCTCCAACCACTGCAACCTCTTCTTCCTTTCGCTGTTGCTGTGCTCGTGGTTGCTTCTGTCCGCCCGTGTGTGTGTGTGCATGTCTCTGCTGCGGGCGTGGGGTCGGCTACCGTTGCTTCTGCTCCCGCGGTTCTACTCTGTGGTGCCGCCCCTGAACACTGCAGCCGATATGGCTGACGACAAGGTGTGATATGGGTGTTGATGTGTACTTGTGTTTGTATATGCGTGTGAGTGTGTGTATGTATGTGTGTATGTGTGTATGTGTGTGAATGTGTGAGTGTGTGTGTGTGTGAATGTGTGTGTGTGTGTGAGTGTATGTGTGTTTGACGTGTGCCCCGCGTGAACGTCCTCCCTGCGTTGTCTCACCAACCCAACTGCATGTGCACCACACAGCCCATTCGCGCTGTGCTGTGGCGCCAGGAATGGGAAGCGCTGTCGCCAGACGTGCAAGCCGCTCGCAAGATGGTACGCATCATTGTGCGTGCTTGCGTTCATGTCCTGTGCCATCCACACACAATCACGACGCGTATGAACATGCTTGCTTTTGACGTTCCAAGAAGGCATTCTCACCCGCATTTCTCTTCTTCTCTCTCCGCCTCCCTCTCTCCGCTCTACTCTTCTTTGCATCCACCTCAACAGCTTGCGCGGGAGCTGGCAGAGTCGAACCTGATTGATGACCGCACCTACCATCTCCAGACCTACCGCCAGTGCTTTGTTGCTTCTGACGCCGTCAGGTTGGCGCGCATGCTGAGCGGTGGGGAGATGGGGGTGGTCATTTGCGGTCTGCCACACCATCGGCGGCACAATGGCGTGTCTCACACACATGCGCACACTCACACATCCACACACATCCACACATATACACACACGCGCACCCATGTGCCTTAGTTACATGGTTGAGAACGGCAAGGCCGAGTCGCGGGAGGCCGCTGTTGGTCAACTGCAGCACCTGGTGGAAGGCAACCTCATCCATCATGTCACGTTCGACCACACCTTCTCCGACGCAAAGCTCTTCTTCCGGTACACAGTTATGTGTGTGTGTGTGTGTGTGTGCCTGTGCTCTGGTGTTGCACAACCTCGTGCTTTTCCTCCACACTTGTACATCATGGTCACCACCACCATCATCCTCATCACTGCCAGCGCCACGGATCCGGCCTCGACTGGACCAGGCATCTTCACGCTCGCCGGCGACGTACGTGCACACACACACACACACAATATCTTGAAGTTGCATGCCTCCCTGTCACTGCATCTCTAACCCTTTTCCACCCTCATCATCTCCCCCCTGCCTGTGGTGTGCAGAAGAAGAACGTGGTGTGCTGGGCGACGGTGTCTGGTGTTGGCTTCCTTGGCCTCGGCTCCAACCCAACAGGCGTGATTGGCCTTGATCGAGAGGGCGCCACCATCCACCACTTTACCAACGACATTGCACCCGCACCCAAGTCGTCCCTTCCCGTTGACGTGCGTTGGATGGGTGTACGGGTTTTAGGGGTGGCTGGAGGGATGAGGATGTTGGGTGTTCGTTGATGTGCTGAGTGTTTGTTGATGTGTTCCAGTGGTTGTGCTCGTGTTCGTTCTGCGTTGTGTTGTTCATCGCATCACTGCTTACCTACACAAACAAACACGCGTGCGTACACGCTGTCTGTCTGTTCGTAGGATTCGGTGGAGGTCAAGTACCTCGACGAGTCAAAAGGTGCGTGTAGATGTGTGTATGTGTGTGTATGTGTGTATATGTGTGTGTGTATGTGTGTGTGTGTATGTGTGTGTATGTGTGTGTATGTGTGTGTATGTGTGTGCGTGTGTGTGTTGTTCCTTCGTTACAACCACGTCTAGCTCGCCGTTCACCTCGGGTGTCCCCTCACCATGACCTACCCATTGGCACCAACCAATCACCACGGGGGTGCGCGTGTTCTCAGGCCACGCGATTGTTGTCTCCAACACCAAAGGAAC